AAACTTGACAAAACTGCTGTTTTTCAGACTACATGTGTTAGGAGCTGGGATGGCATGTGTGCTTGCATTTCCTTTTTTGGAGCAGGTAGGCGAGGCAATGATCCTCAGGGTTCTCTAGGCACATCTGTGGAACATCATCAGATGGGCTATTTAAAGAGCAAGTATCAGATTATTTTCTTAGCCTAAGTGGTAATGAGCCAGCCATCTTTATATTTAACTACGTTCATCAAGGTATTCATGGATTCCCTCATTCTGTGTTTCCTGCCAGCTTGACTTCCCCATCTGCCAGTTCTACTGTGCTTTGGATACATCAACTCAGGACCCCGCAACCCAGCTCACCCGCATGATCACTGGACCACGTCTGTCTCCACCACGGCTCCCTGCCCTTGCCCCAGTACAGAGTAAACATGTGACAAGTAAGCTCTCCTCAGGTACGTAAACTGCTCTCCTATGCCCTGTTTCGTTTACTCGCAAACCTCATGCTCCTTTTCCCTCTCTAGATAGTTAGAGTTTCCCACCAGCACATCTCCCTCGCCTCACCATCTTATGTTTCCCATGACTACACTGTAAAAAAAAAAAACCTGTTTCACTCCAGTTGTGGTTGTCTGAGTAATCTGCCACTTGGGTCCACTTTCATTTCACCTAACAACATGTAGCTATCCTTGTATGTCAGTTTTATGTGACACAATTACTTCTTATGTTTGTTTTCTCATTGTTATAATTGGTAATTACTTACATTTTGATTAGATACTTTGAGTTCACAAATGATCCGATTACACAATTGGAATACAATGTGTCAATGCTGCAGGGGGGTTGACTATCCCAGCTGCCACAGGGCAAAGGCAGGACAGACTGCCAGTTTATGCACGGAGCTAACACAATGTATGTGATAGAAAATCCACTGAAATGTACAGCCTCACAATGCTGGACTTGGGATGAAACCCTTCATGCATGGTAAGGTGCTTCCTTCTTTTGATATCAGTGGGTTCTATCTCCTCTTTTGGCCAGCTTATTATCCCAGCAGAGTACCTGATCATGGGCAAGGCATAGGTGTTGATAGCCCGGATCTTGTTCTTACTGTTCAGCTGACTCCTCAAGAGTTGCCTGACCCTCTGCAGGCCCTCTGACCCTCTGGTTGCAGCTTTCTTAGCGGCCTCTTCATGGTTCCCATTTGCCTGTGGGATCCCCAGGTACTTGAAGCTGTCCTCTATGTCTGCAATGTTGCCTTCTGGCCATTTGATCCCGGCCCCGCTGGTGTTTTTATTCAAGATTTTACCGACTTTTTATCTTCCATTATTAAACTTGAGAAGGTCTTAATGATTGGGGATTTCAACCTCCACATGGATGATCTTAGCAGTAGCATGGCCTCTGACTTTCTATCCATTACAGACTCTTTTAATTTTATTCAGCATGTCTCTGGACCCACCCATGTTAAAGGCCACACCTTGGACCTTGTGTTTTCTCTTGGCTTAGACATAACTAATGTGTGTGTTAAGGACGTACAAGTGAGTAACCATTCCTGTGTTACTTTTAATCTTAGCTTCCCTCTGTACACACCACCTTCTAATCTCATGTTCCATAAGCGGTTCATAAATCAGGATGTTGCTTTGAAGTTTTCTAATATGTTGGACCCTCATGTGATCAGTGGCTGAACTGATGCTGATGTTGCTACACAGTGTTTTAACAATCACTGCTTGGAAATTTTAAATTCAGTGGCACCTATGAAATCTGTCATTGTTGCCTCAAAAAGAGCTCATCCATGGATAAATGATGACATAAGGAAGGTCAAAACAATCTGTAGGAAAGTAGAACGCCTTTGGAAATCAACTAAATTCGAAGTTCACAGGTTCAACCTTAGGGAACTTTGGGTTTCCTTACATGAAACCATATCTGCTCTTGCTCTTGACGAAGGTGGTAACACTTTTCTCCTCTCCTCCTCCTCCTCTCCCTTAGCTTCCCTGCTTAGCCTCTTATGTCCTTGTCTAGTCTCGTGTTTTTTGTATTACTTTTCCCTGGAACATTCTCTCACAGTCTGTTCTCTAAAACCTAAAAGAGGAATTATGGATTGGATCAACTGGTCCCTAAATGCAATTGACACCCCTTTCTCAACGAGAAGTTTGGGCTTGGGTGAGCCTGAGTGCTGAAGATATCTACCTATTCTGAACCATGGTAATAGGGTTCTGGCTGATCGGAGCTGGCTTGGACCTGTCTTTATCCTGTTTTCCTTCTCTCACCCCAACCGGTCGCAGCAGATGACCGCCGACCGCCCCTCTCTGAGCCTGGTTCTGCCCGACGTTTCTTCTTGTTAAAAGTGAGTTTTTTCCTTCCCACTGTCGTCAAAGTGCTTGCTCATAGGGGGTCACATGATTGTTGGGTTTTTCTCTGTATCTATTATTGTACGATCTACTGTACAATATAAAGCGCCTTGAGGAGGCTGTTATTGTTCTATATAAATAAAACTGAATTGAATTGAATTGCAATCAATCCAGGCAGTGCACAGGTTGGTCAGTCTAGTCTTGTAGTCTCAGCTGACTGTTCAGTCTACCAGTAGCTGGTATTGCCAATTCCTTTCTGTGCCCCGCTCATGTATTGAACCATGTGCAAGTTCATCTTAGCTCCTATGATGCCTGACAGGAGCTTCCACATAGTACTGAGGCAGGTTAGTGGCCGGTAGTTGGATGGGACCCTTCCGGAAGTCCTTGGGGATCAGGACCGTCCGGGCTTCGGTTAGCCATTCCAGGTGTCTCATCGACTAGCAGCTGGTTCATTTGTGCTGCCAGAAGTTCACGGAGTGCAGTCAGCTTCTTCAGCCAGTAGGCATGAACTATGTCAGGGCCTGATGCTGTCCCACTCTTCATACTGGAGACCTTCATACTGGAGGTCTGCTCTTTAGATCCACTAGCCACTGAGCATTGCCATTATGGGTTTCGTCCATCTTAATGCTCTTCCAGTATTGCTCAGTCTCCACCCTTTGCGGGGCTGTTCTCATATTGTTTCCTAGGACTCCCATAGGTGGATTCCCATTCATTTGCTATGGCGGTCACTTTTCTGACCGGGAACACCACAGATCTAACAAAGTTGATTAAAACACTCAAAATTCAACGAAAGAGGTGCTCATCACTTTTATATGTTCAAGTGCATAGTGTGGAGGATGTCATAAGGACTCGAGGTAATCGGATGTAAAACACAATATTTATGAGTTTTTTCATTTGTAAATCGGTCGGATTTGACCCGAACACAACAGGAAGGTTAACTATATCTATATTTATCATAAGATAAGACAAGATAAGATAACCTTTATTAGTCCCATGCGTGGGAAATTTGTTTTGTTACAGCAGTGGACAGTGCAAAGTTACATAGAAAAGTTAGAAAAAAAAACATTGGAATAAGATATCAATAAGATACTGTACACAACTGTACACAATAGAATAGAATAAGATAAAATGCTATATACAATTGAGTAAAATACAACGATGCCAGAAAAGATTATAGCACTTAGTGTTATTGCACATGTGTGGATGTGTGTGTTTGATCAGTTAAAGTCTTTATTGTGGAGTCTGACAGCAGTGGGGAGGAAAGACCTGCGAAATCTCTCCGTCCCACATCGTGGATGCCGCAGTCTCCCACTGAAGGAGCTGCTCAGTGCTGTCAGAGTCTCCTGTGTGGGGTGGGAGATGTTGTCCAACAGGGATGACAGCTTAGCCACCTTTCTCCTGTCACTCACCACCTCCACTGGGTCCAGAGGGCATCCTAGAACAGAGCTGGTCCTTCTGATCAGCCTGTTCAATCTCTTCCTGTCCCCAGCAGAAATACTGCTGCCCCAGCAGACCACACCGTAAAAGATGGCTGAGGCCACCACAGAGTCATAGAAGGTCTTCAGGAGTGGGCCCTTCACTCCAAAAGACCTGAGTCTCCGCAGCAGGTACAGCCTGCTCTGCCCTTGCCTGTAGAAGGCGTCTGAATTATGAGTCCAATCCAGTTTATAATATTTATCTATTGATAAATGTTTTATTACTTCATTCTATATGGGTTCTTGACTTTTGTTGTATGTATGCTGCTTTGACAACTCAACTTCCCTCAGGGATTAATGAAGTCTGTCTGATTCTGATTCTGATATATTTGTGTTGGACAAAGTGTGAACACTGAGACGAAATACCCTTTGTAAAAGCCCACACACTTCTTAACATTGTAAAACTATCGGCACAAACAGCACTGCAGAAAAATACAGGCAGCCAGTGTGTCTTTCTAACCAGTCAGAGAGCTCCTTAATTTGCATTAGTTTTTTTCTAGGGACCAAAAGAACTACAGAAATTCTACATAGTTTAGCTAATCTGATAGGTAATCTGTTAGCTAATCCTAATTGATCTCAAAGCTATACATTAGCTAACATAACGAGCTAACAAGAAAGGGAAATGCAGTAAGGAAATGGTTTTGAAAATGAGAAGTGGAATCCCCATTTTAAATGTCAGAAATAAATCTGTATTCATAATTAAATTTTTTTATATCCATTTATTATTTTCTCTTTTTAAATTGCATTTTCAAAAAGACTTTGAAAATCAGCTTTTTAATTAAAAATTAGAAAAATAAAAAATTAAGAGATTAATTTTGAATTTTGAATTTAAATGGATTTACTAATGTACTTTATTGTACAATTCATGATGAAAGCACAAAACTCTTTATTTCATGACTCATCTGGACTGCCACAGTACTTCAGTCCATGTTTGTCAGGAAGGGCATTTCGTCTAAAAAAGAAAATCAAGCATGTGAAGCTACCTTCTGTGGCAATCCAATGTCAAAAGGGAGCAGCTAAAAGTTCTTTTTTAAAATTTTAAAATTAAATTTCTACATGCAGCAACAAACTATTACACTGACCACAATTTTTAGGTGTTCCTGAGTTACGATAGTGAATTTCAATTCAGATGCATGTGTGTAATGCAGTAGTGCCTGAAGGCCCAAATTAGACAACCATTAGATATTGACATGAACTGTTGTGTGGAATGTAGGGTTTAATTGTGCACCCAAATGCAGTACACTGAAGACAGAAGTAACATAAAGCAACATTTTATTTCTGGTGATTGCCAAGGTTTACAAAGTGCAAAAGGAATAAGTGACGTTTCACTGGATAGTGCAACAGAAACATACTTAAATAAATACATATAAGGAGCAACACAAGGCAATCTATAACAATTCTAAGAAGCCCATTGACAATGCAGATTACAGCCCCCTCAACATTCACCTACTATACACTCCAATAATAAAAATCTACACACGCTTTAAATCCAAAGTGGAGCAAAGTTGTACATACAGATTTAAATTAGCATTAGCAATTCACCAAATTTCACATTTTTAACTTTTTATACATGTCTTTGTGAAACTTGCAACTGTCAATTGTATATAGTGATTGAATCATTTGCATTGTGATTTTTTTCATAGTTTTTGAACTCTTGGATCTCAAAATGTTAAAATAATAAAGTTTTAGATACAAGATACTGCAAATGAAATTTCCCTGGTCCAGTTATGAGTTATTACATGTCTAGTAATATCATTCCATGACTCCAGGTTTCCAAACAAAGTGTTCTTTGCATAATGATGTACTTTTGGTGTTTAAGAGGTATTAGCTGGGTTACTTTAGAGCACTAGATTTCACAATAGCTAAAACTAATAGTAGAGTCCCACACAGAAAGTCCCTCCCATAATATATTCAATTATTTAAATGAAAAGCAATTTTTAAAAAAGGGGTACGCTAGGCCTTAGTTCCCTTTTCAGTCCGTTTTTGTTTTTTTGTTTTTTTACAAAGCTAATACAAATACAAAAAATTTCTCTCTCATAGCCAAGACTTCCTAGTCCATCCCAGCCTGGCCATATTAGCTAGTTTAACTTTTACTTTGTCTTTGCTGTCTGGACTTCTCTTGGAGGTGCATTCCACAGTTGAGTCTGTTTCAAACGAGATAGCTGGGGCATGTCCAAGTAGGCTTCCTTTCTTTTCCTGGGCCATGGTTGCTTGAGTCTGCAGAAACACCTGACCCCTCACAGAATGCCTGAGTTGCAGCATCAGGGGGTTATGGTTTGAGTATAATTTGACAGGATTCTGCTCCTGACGGCAGCAGGTGGAGCAAGCTGAGCAGAGTATGCGAAAAATATAAATCCACCCCAGGTAGTGGAGCTCTGCAATGTTAAGGATGAAACAGCCCAAGCTGATGCTGAACATAAAGTTCAGGAAGATGGTCTTCTCAGTGGCACGTGATACAAAGCAGTCTGTACGAGTAGGGCAAGGATACGAGTCACAGCGATACAGGTGAGGCACTTCAAACCCAAACAAGAAGTACTGGCCGACCAGGAAGGTGATCTCCAGTACAGATCGTAGTAATACATGAAGAATGTAAATAAGAAGAACCTGGTTGGACTGCTGGGTGGGGTCCTCTCCCATTTCATCATAAGCTTCTTCCAGAAGGCTTTTCTTTACATCTTCCCTCTCACTTGTATTCCATTCCCCACTGTAATGAGGGTAGTAAGTGGGGATGTTGACCTTTAGTGCTTCCATGCCATCTTTCCTAATTTCCCCGGACCTTTGTTTGGGAACTCTCTGGGATAGCAGCTGTGTCCTCTGGCCATCAAGCTTCTCATCCTTGGCAATCTTATGCAGTACAAAAACTATGTAGAAAATAGATGGAGTAGAGACGAGTACAATTTGGAAGACCCAGAACCGTAGATGTGAAACAGGAGCAAATGTGTCATAACAGACGTTGTTGCATCCAGGCTGTTGGGTGTTACAGGTGAATTTGGACTGCTCGTCACTGTAGACAGCATCACCCACCAAGGCTACCAGCAGAATGCGGAAAATGAGCAGCATAGTGAGCCAGATCTTGCCTATCACTGTAGAGTGGTTCTGGACCTCAGACAGAAAGCGACCAAGTATGGACCAGTCACCCATGGCTTAATCTTAGACAGAAAGTAAAAGGGGCTATTAATAATAGGACAACTTAGGGTGTACTCAGACTAGGCTCAACTGACTGAAGTAATATATACTAGCTTAAACCTATTGCCAATTTCTTGGTAAAATGATAAGCAGTAATATTATTCACTGATGAAGACTCTGATATGTAGCTGAAAACTCTGGAAAATATATTAACTTATATTAACTCACTACTGTATATATTACATTATAATATATTATATATTAGAGTTTAAATACATTATATATACAATAAAGCATTTGCCATGTAAAAACACTTTTTTGTTATCACTTAACAATTGAAATATATAAATATATTTGTTACAGTCAAGTTTGTTGAAGCATCTCAGGATCACAATTATGCTTTTAGAAACATCTGTTTTAGAGAGCAGAAAGAGACCTTTCAACAGTTCTGAGTGGTTTCTCACCGTAACTAAGTTCATTTATTGAAAACTGTATTTAGGTACAAATTTGAAGAACTTACACTTAAATATGAAAATATCTAAATATGTCTTAAATATGTACTTAATGTGTTAATTTCTACTTCTGCTGCACTTCATTTCAGAGGGAAATGTTGTGCATTTCTCTTGTAACATGGTCGACTACAGTGCAGCCTATGTAGCAACTCACCTTCATAAACTCATCTCCATATTTGCTGTGGGAAATGGCTTTGTGTGTTTCACAATTGGTCAGCCAATCGCTGCGATTGGCTTGAGTTAATTGAGGGCAGGTGTATCTGACTGTACTCATAATCTACACTGTTTATATTCCACACTGAAAACAGTGCTGTCATATTTTTCTGTCTGCAGGTATGTGCCCCAGACTCAAGATGGCTTAGATTAAAACAGTTTATAGTAATCATTTGCTGTTATTCTGTGAAATATATAATTAATATTGGTGACTGTCAGCCTATTACGTATAGGGTGTTGAGTCTGGGGGGACAACTGCTGTTCTCTGTTGAAATTTGGACTGTAAGTGGGACACTGAACTGTTTCATTCCCCAACTTTTATGTGATGAATATAGTACCTGGGAGTATTTTTCATTGACCTCAGTGATGTGACTATTGTTTTATATTTTACAATTTTCTGTCTATCATCTTTGCTCTTAACTGCGGCTGTCAAACCTAGAATCTTTGTATAAAACTCTCAGTTTTATTAGTTTAGGACTAGGGTTAGGGTTTTTTGGAAATTAAAATTTACAAACAGACAAAAATGTAAAATAAAATCAAATGGCCAAAGGTTTTTGTTTTATCTGTTTTACATCTTCACCCAAAACACTTTTACTTGTTAAAATATAGGACTGGTTCATTAAGCGTATTCAGCAGCTTAACCACATTACTGATCATGCATGCTCAGGCAAATCAATAAAGCATTATAGCAAATGAAGTATTGTGAAACCTAATGTCTGACACTGGTAATATTATTGTTGTATAGTAATGGTGCTCCCTCCCCCCCTCCCCCCCTTCAAAAGAAATATATCAAGGAACCATTCTCAACCCTAAAACAGTGGATTTTACAGGAACTCATTTCAGTTTTCTTTTTTATCTTTTTTTTTTTTTTACAGTATTTAGCTCATTATTGTTGTTGTAGAAAAAGCTATTTACATATTTATCTTTACTCTGATGGTGGTTATTTTTTTCTAAAATGTTTAAATTATTTATAATCTACTGAAAGGTCTCACTGAAAATCTTTATATGAATAACAACAAATCATATAGAGAAAACTTTACCTTAGGATACCCAAATTTTGGTCATTTTCAATTTTCTTCCTGGACAATAACATACTTTGTAGTGCATTTTTAGTAGACTCAGAGAAGTGTTAAAAAATACAACCATGAAAAAGCAGCATTTGAACTCAATAGAATCCCATTTGAACTCACCTAACCTTAAGCTTTGCAGCATAAATCCTCATAATGTAGCCTTTACTGCACCATTTGCATGGCTATTTTTGATTTAAAATGTTGATGAATTGAATCCCGCTGAGTGTGGAAAGAGAGAACACACATTAAGCCAGTCTATCTGAAGCTGACATTGTGCTATTTTACAAAAAGGCTGGCAATGTACAATACAACAAAGCACAATGAGTGGGCTCATTTTCTGAACACCCGGGAACTGTAAAACAAAAAGCATATGGAACAGGCTGGAAAGTAAACATAATGCAGGTCTTTGCAAAGGCTCTGCTTGAACCACCTCGAACAGTACAAGTTACAGACAAATTTTGTTACTTTCTACACTATAGCAGGTTTCAGCTGGAGTCAGTATGTTCACATCTGTTGTATCCTTTGATAGCATGCAGCAGCGGAGTTCAAAAGGGAAAAAAATGTTTTGGTTTTTGCATATGTAATCAAGTCCCAGACTCTGTAGATCATAACACAGACTCTCTTCTCTTGTCACAAGGGCCTTAACAGTGGAAATAATTGTGCCGGAGAAGTGTTCAGGAGCAGCTTCTCCGATGAATTGTGTCTTGTTCTCAAATTTGTTACTAACTTATGATTTTATACCGATTTAGAAAAAGGCTGATTTAGCTTCAGCAAAGCAGGATAAAACTAAAATACCCAGTTAGCTGAATGTGAACAACATCATAAATCAAAGTAAAATAAAATGAACTGAGTACATTTATTCAAAAATAATTGATAAGTGACCTTATAGCTAATAAAACAGAAGATTGCCTGATTTAAATTTGGCTGATTTGTTGGTGAGGTGGTCAGCACTGCTGCCTCACATGAAAATCCTGGGTTTGGATCTATTGGGCTGTTTCTGCTTTCACTGCTCTGAGACCAGTTACTCTCTGTGAGTTCTGTGAAAAAAGCTAAACATGTAAGTGAGCATTCTGTGATTTATTATAGTAAATCACAGAATGACTTAAGTTCTGTATATACGTTACACAGTAAGTTCAGATCTGGAAAATTATGAATTTTGTATCGCTTTTTTGCAACACTCTTGGCCTTTAATGGCCTTTGGAGTGCAGTGAAAAGAATTTTTATAAGTTTTTAGCATGTGGCAAGTAAATGGTTGATTAATTAGAGGAATTGTGCCATGTTTGATTTCAGACTCAACTATCAATTTTGGATTAAAGGCCTTTACACACTGAGTGTGTAACAAAAAAACAACATGAACTTCCAAATTTTCTGGATCTGAATCCGTCGCTCAATGTCGCGCTTTTGTGAAAAGTTGATCCTCAAAAAACGCACTGTGAAACAAAGAATGAAGTCAACATCAAGCAAGATGAGTTGGTCCTGATGCTTGTAAACAAGAAAAGCTAGAAATGAAGATTCTGGGTTCACTCAATTCCCAAGTGAGTGAATTAACTACTTCACTCACTTAAGAATTTTTTAGGAATAAAAAGAAAATTGCCCTCAACATCTATCAGAACCAGCTTTACTGACCAAGAATATGTGTAGATATTTATGGTCAGTAAAGCTGATAATGGCCTGGTTACTTATTAGTTCTCAATGTAACATAATAGAAAACAGACAATATTTACAATAGAAACATATATTGCATATTTATGTTTATGGTGCAGTTGTGCAGGGGGCAGAGATATTGGATTAAATTATGGAATAAATAAGGGATAGATAACTTGTTATTTGTTACTATTAACAGTACATACAAAGACTGAGAGAGAAGGAGAGAGAGATATAACGAAATAGTACGTACAACACAGTTTGATTCAGCAGCACGTATGTCACATGTTTAAGTACATCTGTCTTGTAACATTTTTTTCAGTCTCTAGTGACAAAATATATGTGAACTATATGAAAGGGGAATTATTTAAAGTAAAGTTTAAAAAAAAGTATATTGGACTTGATTTAGTCCTTGGGGTTACAGGAAGTTGTCGCTGCCATATTTAGCTGCTTTGTTGTAGATTCCTTATAGGCTTCCTTCAGATTTTAGCCCAAGTGTTGCAATGGAACCGAGCTGGAGTACGTTTTTATTTCAAGTAAGTGGCACAGTCTCCATAAACGTTTGCCATAAAGCGTAAATATTGTTTGCTAAATGGGTTTTATCCGTTTCTGAAATTACTAAGAGTTAGCCAAGAAAAACAAAGGTGTTAGCGATACCCTGCTAGATAGCTCCGCTGAGTGGTTTCCTGTAACGAACTGCTAACTAGCTTTGTCGAATCCGAGAGCTCCGGACTTTGTGTTGGCAACTTAGATACAGTATAGTCTTGGTATCAGTTAAATAGCCAGAAATCTGTGTCGGTTCATAATTTGCAATTTGTACCATTTACAGCTTAATGGTCACATTATGTGACTATAAAGCTAATTTGTAGCTCGGATTTTGGTGATGCGCGCGCTAGCAAATTAGCTTTAAGCAAAGCTTTTGCTATTGTATATAGGTAAGCTAAGCTAATAGGCTAACGGATTCGCTAACCAGACACTTTTCCCGTGTGCACCGTGGCTATTGCAATAGTACAGAGGGTTAACAAAGCAAGAAAGCGGTGGGGAGCTTAAGCTCTTGACTGGCCCCGTTAACAAGAACTTAGCTAACCCTAGCACTATAACTAAGGGGCTACTTAGCACGCTAAGAGAAGTGATTAAATCACATTCAAGGCTCCAAACGTTACCCTTTATCTTATCAATGATCAATAGCCACGACTTGCAAACTATAAAAATAAACTATAAAGTCATCTGGTTCATTAGTTTTGTAAGTAAGTTCAGAATCAATTCACATGCTGTTTGATCATTTAATCTTGTTTTGAGAAACGAAAAGGAGGTTGTAAATTGTATATAGTCTATATGCCGAATAAATTAAGTTTTATGAAATAATCCCATATTATAGAAGGTCTGTATTTAATTTTTGCTAAATTTTTACTGTCCGCAGTCAACTTTGTATCTGTTTAAGTATAACTGACACACACTTTTTTTTTTTTATAGTGGATCATGTTCTCTGAACAACTGGTATTAAATCTACACTTTGTGTACATCTTAACTGCAAAACCTTAAGAAACCCTGCGCCATAACCTGATATTTTTTTCTAGTCTTTTCATGAGATCTGAATATAAACAGCAAGACAATATTTACCTGCATCAATATAAGATTTGTAGACATGCCAACAGTTTTTCAAATAGGAGTCTTACCATAATTAATCTATACATTGTATTAACAGTGGCAGTTGTACAATTTTTTTTCATTATCTTATTTAATGATGTTTAGCTTAGAAGATTTGTATAAATATATATATATATTTTTTGGAGCAGCAAGATAGAGCAGCTGGCAAGCTTTATTTGTCACATACTCAATCATACAGAGTACAACACGTAGTGAAATGCTTTTGTCCGAGCTGCGGACATGCTGCAGATGTAGGGCTTGGTTTTAGCATGGGTCTATCCAGGACCCTTACTGGATACCCGCTCCAAAGGTGTGTAGTCTTACCACTACACTATCCAGCAGTCTACTCTACTTGTTGTTGCTCGGAAAGGAGGAATTTGGCCGACCCATGCCAATTGCTAAAATGCTAATACAAATGCGGGTTGCAGCAGAAGTCACCTGACATTCGTTCACACCACAACAAAATCAATCACATCAACATAAAAAACATAAGCACACAATATGCAGACACTTGCATCTTTCATTGCACTTTGTTCTTTGCTTTTAGTTCTTATTAGCTAACATTCACACACATACTCTGAGGGATGCATCGGAGACCAACTTTGGGTTAGTAACTTTCCCAAGGATATTTGGTATGCAGACTGCGGGAGCCAGGCATCATTGATGACCGGCTCTACCTCCTGAGCTACAGCTTCAGTGCATCCAGTTCATAAAATAAAATGTATTGAGAAAAGGTTGCTAATTTCTATTTATATTTTTGATAAGTTTTGAGGATTTGAATGTTGCCTACTTTATTAGGTAAGTTAAGCATAGGCCACAGCAATCAGTGTGGAAGATGTTTGATGCTGATAACGCTTACGGAAATTTAAAATGAATAAGAAAAGTATCAATGGCTATGTTTGTCATATGTAAATGTTTGTATAGAAAAATATTAGTTTTCAAGTTGCTTTCAGGCTGGGTTGGCTTTCTGTGAGTTTGCAGTGTCATCAGGTTTTGCTCTACATTGTCAAAAACAGCCACGAAGCAGCAGGTAAGCCACCGGGATGAATTGCATCAAAATCTGAGTTAGCTGTGATCACATGATGTGGGGTTTTGGACCGCACTTTGGAACAGTGTTTCAAAACATTTGTGCTTTATAAGCTTGACACAGGGTCGAAATGTCAGTGTTGATGGTTCCTTCCTTTTTTGTAAAAAAAAAAAAAAAAAAAAAAAAAAAAACATGGCTGGGAGCGCCAGTGCGACCAGCCGTTCGAGTAATAAAGAAAAAATCTCCGCAACTCTGAAAGTCTCTGTGTGGTCAACAACAGACACTCATTATATCATATCATATTTTAAGTTAAAATTTCAGCTCAGCGAAGAACTTTGATCACAGGAACTTTTTCAGTACCATATTTTTTTTTGGACTGTAAGGTGCACTTAAAATACAGACTTCATACAAATGTGTGCCTTATGTATGAATTCCGGTTGTGCTTACTGACCGCGAAATGATTTTATGTGGTAACTGGCACTCAAAAATCTGTCAAAATGTTTTAAGTACGACTTTGGTAAGCTTTGAAACCGCACCACTTGATGGGTTGTTCACACATTATGGCTACAGTAGTCGGGAGCCTCAGAGTAATATGTACCGTGCCTCAACATAATATTACCGTTAGGGCTGGGACATATTATACCGTTCACGGTAATACCGGTACAATGATACACAACGATAAGAAAATAAAATTTCACGATAGAATTTGGGTAAAACGCGCATGCGCAGTTCCTTGGTTTTCATACGCACATTGCCGAAAAAGCATGGCGGCAACGGAGAATGAGAAGGGGAAAAGCGGATTGTTGAGTGAAACAAATGACCCAGAATTAGTTTGTAAAAATGGTGCAACTTCAGTGATGTGAAACTGGTTTGGTGTTTGTCCATCAGAAACAACACGGGAATAGAGCAGCTGTGATAGAATACAGCATTAATGAATCAATGGTACAGAAGTGGAGGAAGCAAGAAGAATGAGTTGAGTGAAGTTGGACTTATCTGACTACTTTGTTTTTTTTTATTTGGCACACTGCAGTTTAATGTTGCAAAGCACCTCTTTTTAACTTTAGTGGATATTATACATGGTTATGCTCAGGATATTTCAGCCCATTTCCACTAGAAATGCCTTTTTGTTAAACTTTCAGCAAGAAATTTGCATTTGCACATAAATGCACATTAAAAAAACAGCTGCTTGTTTAAGTGAAAATAAATTGATTGGGTTTTTTTGCGCCAGTAAAGTTGTGGAGTTATATTTTGTATTTTGTCTCGCATTAATTATATCGTCAGTTATATCGTTATTGCAAATTTTCAAATGTATATAGTGATAAATATTTTTGGTCATATCGCCCTGCTCTAATAACTGTATTGTGTGTATGTAAGGACCCCAAAATGGCACCTTTTAAGAGACATGCTTACAAAGCGGATTTCAAACTAGAATGAGTTGAGTAAAGTTTGACTTATCTGACTGTTTGGTTTTGCTTAATGCGCCTTATAATCCAAAAAATATGGTAACTTATGTTTACTGTAAAAATGTGCTCCAAATAAAGAAGTTTGTTGACAAGATTGTTAGTTAATCATATACAAGTCAATATTGCCTGTATGGGCAGCAATTTTTTTTTTTTTTTTTTTTTAAAAGTGTACATTTAAATCTGCGGTGTTAAACGATGCAGTTGAAAAATTCGGGTGCACCTAAGAAAAAAAAAAGTTAGGCGCACCAGTGCTGGGCATGCAGTCTGACAACATCACATTTTAGTACCTGCTCAGATTGCTTGGAACACCCATTTGAGCAGGTACTATTTTAGTACCTCGTACCAGGTACTATGACCTAATTGGAAAAACCTGAAACCTGTGGTAAATATGTACCAGTGACTGTAGAAAAGATTGCCGACTTGGTTGCACTTCTTCCCATTATACAAAAATGAAGCCAAAATGTCCTGTTTGTGGAAGCTGCCATGTTGCACTTTTGAAGCCAGAATCTGCACAGTAGTGACTTGAGATGTAGTGGCTGCCTCGTGCTCCTGCCCACACACCCGCACACATACATTTAGTTTTAGTTTCATTTAAGTTCAATGATTTTTTTTTTTTTTTTTTTAAATCAAGCCAAAGCTTCAGTTTAATTATTTCATTTGTCATCTCATCCGATAAGTGCTGCAGATAATCACCAGAGCAGAAAATGTTTGTATCATCAGCAAATGGTACCATTTTTTTACCGCTTTGAACACTTTACAAATGTCATTAATGTATAAGTTTAAGAATTTGGGGCCTAAAACTCACCCCTGCAGTACACCACAAGCAGTGTCCATACATAAGGAGCAACAACCATTTAATTTAACAAACTCCTTCCTGTCTCTTAAAAAACTCCAACCCAATTTAAAATTACCCCCTGGTGTCCTTTATTTCAGTACAATAGCACATGTATGGCTTTAGTTTTTGTTGTTTTTTTTTCCCCACATACTGTATGACCTTAAAAATCAGTAGTAGTAGTAAAAAAGGCTTTTACTGTGAAAACCACAAACATATTTAATGAACCTTTTACTCCTCAGCTGTAAAAGACTGATGGGGTATTGTCGTCGCCCTACTAGGCGGGCGGCATGAGCACCCAAGTTTGTGAATGCAAAAACTCAAGAATGAAGTCACCTAGGTTTTTCACCATATGTCAGGAGTGGGCAACTCCAGGCCTCAAGGGCCAGTGTCCTGCAGGCTTTAGATATCACCCTGGATCAACACACCTGAATCACATGATTAGTTCATGTGTTGGATCAAAGACACATCTAAAACCTGCAGGACACCGGCCCTCGAGGCCTGGAGTTGCCCACCCCTGCCATTGCTGCATTTACTAAGTTTCAAATGAATTCGAATCCCGGTGACCTTGACCCCAAAGTTAAGGTTAGAAGTCACATTTGCTGAAAATCTTGTGAATGTGATAACTCAAGAACAAGGCAGCGTAGGATTTTTAAAGTAATACCGATAGGTATGTCTACAAGGAGGCTATAGGGTAGCACTGGTGGTCATCAGTATTTTTATTTATTTTTTTATTTTTTATTTTTTTTGAAATTCTATTTATTAATGTTTTTTAATTTGTAGCATTTGATGATCCTCATGACCGTTAGAGTAGATACACAGTACTTTCTTAACTTTACTAATCCTTGATGATATGTGTATCTATTAACATAATTTTCAAAGGTCCTCTTCTTGATTTTTATTTTGTTTTATTTTGTTATTACAGCAGGCCAATGAGGCTCTGCATCACCAACACCAAGTAGCTGGAAACAGCCTGTTGCCTCTTCTTAATTCTGGGACAGAGCCACCTGATCAGAAACCAGTGCTGCCAATCCCATTGGACCAGAAACCACCTGTCAGTGCTACAGAACTTCTTAAAGACAATGTGGCTACTGGGGCTGTTGGAGGAGGTGGTGAAGTGGCTCCAGTTGCTGTGGTTAAAAAGGAACCTAAGTCAAAGACTCCCTTTATCTGTGGCTACTGCAACAAAGCTTTCCGGGACAGCTACCATCTACGGCGGCACGAGTCTTGCCACACTGGCGTTAAGATGGTGTCACGGCCTAAGAAGGCTCAGACTGCTCCTACCATGGTGCCACTCATATCCACTGTACCACGTGAGAATAGTGGAAATCCGTCATACATAACTACTGTAGCCACAGGTGTCCTGACTACAGCAACAACATCAGCATCCACAGGCACTAGCAGCATGACCCCAATGCAACACCAACAACTACAGAGCATTCCTAAAAAGCCTCCCAAGCCAGTGAAAAAGAACCATGGTTGTGACATGTGTGGTAAGGCCTTCAGAGATGTGTATCACCTCAATCGCCACAAGCTGTCACACTCAGACGAAAAGCCGTTTGAATGTCCCATCTGTCAGCAGAGGTTTAAAAGGAAGGATCGCATGACATACCATGTCCGCTCCCATGATGGGGGAGTTCACAAGCCCTACATCTGTTCTGTCTGTGGGAAGGGCTTCTCTAGGTATGTGGTTCTGATTTCTCTATTGTTATAGTTCTTCTAAATTTGTACAATATAAGGAATCATAATTGTTACACTACACTGTTTTTGAGGGATCACACTAATAGCCAGCCCCCCAAAAAATCACCTCAACTTTATATTTCAGTTTTAGGCTGTAGACAGGCTGCTGTCGCATTGTTTGTTCCATTTGGGGGTACACACTGTTTTGGTTTTGGGGGGGGGGGGGTTGTTGTTGTTGTTGTTGTTGTTTTCTTTCCTTTTTTTTTCTCTTTTCTTCATTTACGTATTTATTTCTGTCATTATTCATGAGTGCATATGTAATATCCCAATGCCAGTATTGACAGAGGACAGAAAAATGGGGGGGGGATATGAAAGAATAAGAGGGCAGAGCAACTAGTGCAGAAAGAGAAAATTTATATCTCAAACAAGTGGCACCTAAAAAGAAAAGGGGCCTAAGCCACTAGTCTTGTGTCGGTTGCAAACGAAACGGCTCCTAGAGTCGGATCTTTGAAGTGAACGAAGGGCGTTTTTTGTTTGTTTGTTTTCTTTCTCTCACCTATGTGGGAATCCTATGTGTGTAATTCCAAGCAGGAAAACACTCTTCCAAAAAATCATCACAGGCCTATATGATAGAGAATGTGCATCTTCTTTTTGTTTTGCATATTTTAATTTATACTTTATTGTGTTGTGGTTTGCAGTGTTTTGTGTTGTTTCACTTTAAATTTGTGTAAAAGGAAAAAGCTGAAAATTTAAATAGAAGTTGAAATGTAAATAGTTGTGTTTTTTTTTTTGTTTTGTTTTTTTTGTATTTTATAATTTATTTTTTACATTTTATGTGCAGTGACCGGTCAAAGCGGGCACGCTTCATTTTGCGTAACTATTTTTAAATCCCTGTAAAACTGCAACCACATAAGCTAGAGCAATAATTTTTTTTGGCATATGAAACCAGAGGAATTGTACTTGCATTTCATGCCATCACCTTGTCCCAAGTCATGGTTTCCTTCCACATATGGCCTTGCAAAAAATTTCCTAAAAAGCATTTGTAGCAACAAAAATATAATATTCTAGAAACATGCTTTGCGGATCCAATCAGCTGTTCATAACACTTCCTACGTTGGAATAGACGTCAGCGTGAACTATCGCATGTCTGCCATTGCCTGCACAAAACCTGAAGGTTATGTAAATGTAGTTTCTTACCTTCGGGGCCGTATAATCCTATACTGGTGCTTTTAAATCATGTTAACTTGATGCTTTTCTGTATCGTTTCTGGGATGCTTAGAACTCAAATTGCACTGCTGGAAATAGTTTATTTTGATGCACATGCTGGTTTTTGTTTTGTGTTTTTGTCTTTTTTGCAAATTTACATTATAATATTTATTTTCGATTTTCCTGCAGTATATTAAAATTGTCTCCAAAAAAAAAAACCAAAACTATGAAGACACTCAAAATAAATTTCCTGTGGTGGGAAACTATGTTTTGTAACTTTTTTGTATTTACAGTTTTGAGGGATAAACCACTTAAATTTCTCAAACTAGAAATATGTTTAAAAAAAAAAAAAAAAAAAATTTTTTATTTTTTTTTTTTTTTTTTTTTTTTTTTTTTTTTTTTTTTGGTAGTTTATTGCACTTTCTTGTAATTTATATAGTTACTATAGACTTAATGCATAC